GGAGTGGGGGGGGCCGGGGGCGGGGCCTGACCTTGCGGTGCTGCTCGTAGTTGCGGATGAAGTCGCGGAGCTGCTCCTCGCGGCTCTCCAGCGTGGCGTACAGCTGCTGCATCTGGCTCACCAGGTCGGTCTTCTCTCCCTTCAGGCGCTTCCGGTCGGCTTTCATGGCTGCGGGCAGAGGGGTGCGTTAGTTCCCGGGGTCCTAGCTTTCTGCCAGCCCCGAATGCCGGGAAGGGACCCTATTCCTACCCCTTCGACAGATGAGGAGTCAGGGTTCATTCAGAGAGATGACATTTCTCTCCCAAGCTCCCATGTGACTCAGGGGCATTCCCAGGATTCGAACCCAGGCCCACCTGGCTCCAGAGTCCCTATTCTCAGCCTCTCAGTTTTATTGATCCAACCGGGGGAGTAAGTCCGTCATTAAACGAAGTCCTCGATTAAATGTCTATCCCTGCCCTAAAGTGGCTAGGTCCCCAGTACAAAAACACTAGAGGCCTGGTGATCCTGTGACCCCCACGGTCCAGGAAGCCGACGGGTCCCTAACACTTGTCCCTGCTGAAATGAGCCCACCAGAGCCCACCAGACTTCCCAGCCCATCATCTGCCCCACTGCCGCCACAGTGAAAAGCACTGGATTAAAATCACGAAGCAAGGTATGACACCAAAAGCATGAGCAACGGAAGAAAAATGGATAAATTAAACTTCATTAAAATTAAAGACTTTTGTGCTTCAAAGGACACCATCAAGCAAATAAAAAGACAAGCCAGGGAATGGGAGAAAATGTTTGCAAATCACAGATTTGATAAGGAGCTTCTGCCTGGAATATATAAAGAACTCTTACAGCTCAATCATAAAAAGGACAAATAACCCAATTTAAGAAATGGGCAAAGGATCTGGATAGGCGCCTCTCCAGGAAACGGCCAACGAGCCCATGAAAAGGTGCCCGACATCAGCAGTCAGCAGGGAAACGCAAATCAAAACCGGAGCGAGATTCTCCTCCTCACTCACTACAATGGGTCAATTAAAAAAGACAGCGCCAGGTGTCGACATGGATGTGGAGAAACTGGAACCTTCACACAGCGCTGGCGGGCACGGAACACGGAGCAGCCGCTGTGGGAAGCAGCTCAAGTGATGAAACGTAGCTCCCCATACGACCCAGCAATTCCACTCCTAGGCACGTACCCAAGAGAAATAAAAATGTACGTCCACACAAAAACGTGCGGACAAATGTTTAGAGCAGCATTAATCACAGTAGCCAAAAGGTGAAACAACTCAATGGACGCCAACTGACGAATAAATCTGAAAAATGTAGCATATCCATACAATGGAATATTATTTGACAATAAAAGTAATGATTCATGCTACGATATGAATAAACCTTGAAGATATGCTAAGACGAATAAGCCAGTCGCAAAAGGCCACATAGCGTATGACTCCATCTCTATGAAATGTCCAGAATAGGAAACTCTATGAGATGGAAAGTAGATTAGTGGTTGCCTAGGGCTGGGGGTAGTGGGAGGGGTGGGGGCTGGGGACGGAGAAGTGGGTGCTTTGGGCTTGGAGTTCCTTTTTGAAAAGTGATGAAATGTTCTAATATAGACTGTGATGATGGACACACAACTCCGTGAGCATAATAAAACCACTGAATTATGCATTGTAACTGGGAGAATCACATGCTAGGTGAATTAGCATTCAATCAAGTGTTACACACACGGTGCCACGCGCTCCAAGGAGCCTCCTGGGGCGGCCGCGTGACTTTTGCTCCCTCCAGACCCTCAGGACACTGTTTCTGGCAGTCGGAGCGAAGCTGACAAGCCCAGGCTCGTGCAGGAGGCTCCAGCAGCAGAGTGGGCTCCACTGCCTTTGCAGACTCTACGTTACGCTGTCTCTGCAGCGAAGCCCCCGACACCTGAAGGTAGCTGAGGGCAGTGACACGGGGCAGGCGACGGCTGGGCTACCTCATCCAACTCTGCAAACAGCCTGACAACATGAGGAAGCGTGGCCCGGTGCCCAACAGCAGCTGACATCCTGCCAGCCCCCCGGGGTTGGTGCGGGGGCGCCCCCATCCCCCTGCACTTTGCCCTCCCCGTCCTTCTGTCCCGGGTAGAGCAGGGCGGAGGCACATCGTCTGGGGCCATGTCGTCACGTGTGAGGAGCCATACAGAGACCCACGCAGTGGGGTTCTGGGGTCTAGGGCGGCTCTTTAAACTCCAGCTTTGAGCTTCCTGGCTCCCAGAGTTGGACTTGAACTCTTCATGGCCAGCTTGGCGGAGCAGCAACTTAGGTCACCGTGGCCAGAATTCCAGGCCTGCTGGGCTGGAACCTCAAAGGGCCAGGGCAGAAGAGCCCACGGAGGGGGGACTCATTTGCTTCTCTCCCCTGTCAGGCAGGGGGTGGCCCCATGGGGCCCTGGGTTCGGGGCAGGAGGGAGAGGGGGCAGAGCTGGGCTAGTTTGGGGCCCTGCAGCCTAACATGGTGTGGCCACGTTACCAGTGAACACCATTTTAAGAAAACCCAACACCTTAAGATGGAATCTGGTCAGAAGGAATCTTACGGAAGGACAGGGGCCCAGCGGTCACTGAGCAAGCAGACATCCACTTGCCCTCTCTCCTTCCGTCCCAGCTGTGTTCCTGTGACAGGTGGGTGCGTGGGTGGGTATACCCATCATCCCGTTTTACAGAAGAGGCAACTGAAGCCGCAGAGGCAGGAGCTGGCGGAGCTGGCACCTAACTCAGTGTTCGGGACGTTTCAGACCAGTGGGGCCCGAGAATGGGAGGGAAGTGAGGCCCAGGGAGATGGCTCCTAGGGAGGCCGCTGACTCGACCACAGTGACCACTGTGGCTTCCCCGGGGAACCTCGGGCGGGCCCTCTGCCCCAGTGGAGGGAAGCTGCCGCTGAGCAGGCCTCCTGGACTCCGCGGAGAGTCACACCTCTGCCCTTCAGCTGGGAATGAAACCCCCTTGGGCTGCCATTTGCTTCCTCTAGACCTGCCTGGATGAGAACCAAACTCCAGGCTTTGCTCTTGGCAGCTGGAGCTCTGGGAGGCATTGCGGGGCCTCTCCTCACTTTGGCCAAATGGCCCTGGAGCGGGGGACGTTGCGGCCTCCTGCTGGCCTCCGCTGCTCCATCCTTGTACGTTCGGAGCGCATGCCGGAGAAGCTGCGTGCCACCCTTCTGTCCAGCAGTGCGGGGCTGCACATGTGCACACGTCCGTGCTGGCGGCCTCAGTAGGGGGCGGGGGGCTGTGCCTCCCCATCTGACCAGGGGCTCCCTGAGAGCAAGGGCTGGACCTCTGCCTTCAGATCAGCAGCTCCTCCCTAAGAGCAGAGTGAGAGCTCCCCTAAAACTGTTCAGTTCAGCACTCCATGTGCCGGGCGCCATGCCTGCTGCTGTGAGGGGAACAGGGACGAACAAGACACGGCCCCTGCCTTTCGGGTGGTGGACGACCTGTTTGAGGCGACGAACCCATTCATACACGGATGATACTGGTTTCCATTCACCCTCCTCTTTACCAAGAGAACCCCAATTTTGCTTGTGCCCAGTTAAAACACTCAACTCCCCAAGCTCCCCTGTAGCTAGACTTGGCATGTGTCACAGTTGCGGCCACCAAGATGCACACAGAAGGCCACAAAGAAATCTGCTGTTTTCTTTATAGAGAAAGGTCACAGTACACTTGCCTTTTGCCCTTCCATTTTCGTGCTGGAACATGGATGTGACATCCTGAGGCACAGCAGCCATGTTGCAAGCACAAGGAGGAAGACACAAGCTGAAAATGGGGAGCAGAAAGACAGACGAGAGGAGCCTGGATCGCTGATGGCACCACCTAGGCCAAAATTCCTTAAAATAGGAGAAAAATAAGCCCCACTGTTTGTGGACTTCTCGTTACGTGCAGCCCAGTGCATTCCAAATCGACACATCAAGCTGGGCTGTGAGAAGTGCCATCAGCCCACCACAAAAGGCCTTGCACTTCATGGTTCCTTCACACGAACTCTCCTCTGGGGTCCCCGCTCTGCTCAACTGGGCTGGATGCTGCCGGGCCGAGGACAGAAAACACGAAAGCTGAACGTCTGGGAATGAAT